TCGGGGATATCTCAATTCATACAGTATACGGGGATAAAAGCAGAATAAGCGAGAAGGTTCCATTTGAATGAAGTTGGCATGAAATCTTCGCTTTCGTTCATTGAAGCAACACGTTAGCAATAATTTCTCTTTCTCTCCATCTCCCTCTCCCTCTCTCGAAATCCGGAATGCTATGGTTTGAGTACCCTTCCTTAAATGAGAAAGTTGTATTTTCTTATTGACTTCGTATGTAGTTTCTTCTTCATTAATCTTGGCAAAATTCCGGAATAATATATTTTAATGACACTGAAACAAAGCAAGCAATGGAACCATGTACGGCTGAACGTGATTCCAGCGGAAGTCAGGAGACCTGATCTGCATGGTGTTATTTTCCGGGGCCGAGACCCGTCCTTGTGAATTTCAGCCGCCGTTGTCCATTGGAGCCAGGGAAAGAACCAGGCGACCCCTCCCATCATCTCGGCGTGGCCTCCAACGGGTGGATGTCGGTGGAAGTCCAACGCGTGATGGTAGGGTCTCGGAACGATTGCCAGGGGAAATCGTGGTGCGAGCACTCCCTCCGATCGATTCGAAGGTCCTGCCATCATGTTCGGTTTTATTTCTTTGTTACTCTCTGTCGTAAGAAAGGAAGGGTTGTCATTGTTTGTGCTTGTGCCTATTATTACGCCACACCCGTGCCCTCACTTACGTCATAGAATAAAAAACTAAGGCTTGTTTTTATTGCACCTATCTTCCTGTCCATTTCTCAAATGTAGAAGTGATTAGTAGTGTATTTCCTCGTTCAGGAATTGGAAATGAATAATCCACCTGTCGTGGCTTTGCCATCATACCTCAATCGAATATCGTCTGGTGATGCAAATCAGGAAGGTGAATATTCCCCAAGACAACCAGTCCTGAATCTGATCAGGCGAACATGTCCGTGGATGAAGGCTGCACGTTCTTAAAGAAGGGGATTCGTCCATAAAGACTCTATGGAGTCTTCAGCCTTCAACCTCGACCTGAGAAGTTCACAATGCTTCCCATGAATTTGAATGAATTTTCAGATTATCTGAAGTTTGAGGCGTATTTTGAAAGGAGATTAGTTGGGGGGCTGGAGGGGAAGGTGGGAGGTCGTGGAGGGGAGGGTGTAAGGTTGAGAAGGTGGGAGTGAGGGTGGGAGGTTGGACGTAATGGCGGATTCAGTCAACTCCCGTTCGTGCTCGTAGAGGGAATGACCATTGTGACGGGTAATAAAAACATCGATGCCTTAATGGAAGGGTGTCAAACTGGCAGACCGGATCCAATCAATTTTGTCGCGCCTTCCGGAATTCCTTTTCAACAGTTGGTTACGGAAAAGTGCTGTAGATTTCGGCCGATTTGCATTAAAGATTAAGTGTTAGGTTTTTATTGTGTCCCCTAATGATCCCAAAAGGCTTCAATCCGGCCCCAAGCCCCATCGAGTTTGACACTCCTGCCCTAATGGATAGTAAGAGCCCTACTTATTTACCATAACTGCTGAGAAACATTGGCCCATAGGAGTAATTTTGGGATAATTCGATGCAGTGAGGTTTGAAATGTCCTTTCCCCACGATTTCCTGAGAGGCAATAATCGCTTCTAAAAACCATGAGGAATTTCCATCTTAGTCCAATATTTATTCATGAGCAGTCAGAATGTCTACGGTTTTGGTTGTGGCGTGCTGTGATTGGAGCGATCGAGATGACCTGCTGGAAAAAAAAAAATGACATAAGATTGCAGGACTTTCTCATTAGATCTGCAGGATTCCTCATGAGCATTGTGAGGTTTCTCATGAGGCCTTGAGGATTCCTCATGAAAACCTCATAGGTTTTTTTTCAACAAGCAGATCCAATAAGGCAATATTTGGCTTCTTTGATATTCGGTATTGAAGAGATAAAGCGAAAGAAAATGTCGCTGATGACTTGGTGCACCCAAGAGACATCCTTTAGTCACTTTTCCGGGAATAAAATCTGGAAATATCCTGGAATGAGATGATTGGCTCCTGATGGGAGGTCCCGGTCGCATGAGGTGTTTTCACGCAGGTACATTATATTTATCGTCGGTATGGGATTGAAAAGTGGTGGCAAATAGCCCTTTCGCTTTTATTAATAGTGTGGCTCTACATTCGTTTGCATGTCCCCTGGAATTCTCCGAGAAACACTAAACCTGCAAATTTCCAAAGGAAAGGAAGAAACGGGGAAAATTTTCTATGCTGATGTATCTAAGTTCGGATTGGAAAATTTTCCTCTTTTAGGACCATCGCATGCTGCAGGTTTCGCGGGACTCTATCAATGAAGCCAGAAATGCATCCATTTCATAGACGAGCCCGGAGCGTGCATCTATGTCCGTGGTTCAAACTCTCTTGAGATGCTGGGTCGACGGTGAGAGGGGAGAAGCGAATGTCGAAGGAACAGGAGGCACAAGTGGCGCCACGACCACGTTCATCGCTATGCGCGGAATAAACGGCCAGAATCAATAGGACGATTGGGACGGCGTCGGCCACCGCAGCACGATGCGCTTCTGCTCCACGTTTCATCATGCATACGCTTAATAGCACTCAGAGCACAACGCGCTTTTCGTCGGAAATCATTTTTCATGGATTCCGGCATTCTTCGTGAAGTGCGACATCGTAAACATCAAGTGGAAATAATTTCCTAACCGTGTCAAAGTATTCTGGCAGCGTCAGGACATCGGCCTCGAGCCTCTCCCCGAAACTCCGAGGAAACCCGGAAACGACTTCATGACGCAGTCGCGATTTCGAGGACCACGGAGGTCCGGCTCCGCCAATTCTCACCGGCGATTCACCGAGACAAGTTACCGCTGCTGATAGGCTTGGTTCAATTTTTCGCGACCTTTCTGTTCGCTTTCGCACGCCTCCCTTCCTAGTCAAGCAGGACCTTTTTCTCCTTCAATTCGATACCAACCTGCTCCGATGATGTTTAAATGAGGCTCGAAGCAGAGGGAATCCATGCAGGATGCTTTCCTCAAAAATTGCGTTGTGCACTGAGTGCTACTAAGGGAAAGCATAATGAAACGTGGAGCAGAAGCGCCGCATGCTGCGGTGGCCGACGCCCTCCCCATAGTTATATTCATTATGGCCGTTCATTCCGCTCACTTTGGTGCGATGAACCTGGTCGTGGAGCCACTTGTGCCGTGGAAAATTTCCGATCGTAATTTCCAATCCAGATATGAACAGAAAAAAAGTCCTCGTTTCCGCCTCTCCTTTGGAAATATGCAGCGTTAGTGCATCCCGGAGAATTCCAGAGGGCATACAAACGAATGCAGTATCTCACGAATAACAAAAGCGAAAAAGCTAACAGCCGCCACTTTTCAATCCCATTCCGACGATGAAGATTATAATTTACCAGATGTCCAGCTTGAAGATACCTTATTCGACCTTAACCTCCCATTGGGAACAAGTCACCTCATGCCAGATATTTCCGTATTTTGTTCCCAGAAAAGGGACTAAGGGTAGTCTCTTGAGAGCACCTAGTCAGAAGCGACATTACGTAGTAAGTGATTCTTCTGTACCTCATGAATAGTAATTCGCCTGTTTAATTTTTTATTTATTTTCTGATCGTGTGCGCAAAACCTAAGCCCTCATAAATTATGCACTCTCTTACCTAGTGCGTCGTGATTGGATCAGCAAATAGACAAGAAAAATGATAGATATGGCGAATTGTGCAATGAAAGTAGACAACGTAGATCATCGATGAATTGAACACGGACACGAATCGGCCATTACCTTCAGCTTAATTTCACTGGACCTTAATCTGGGCCTCGAGGACGACGGCGTGAGGAAGCCCAAAATAACGTCTAACACAGTGACACCCCCGTTTGCAAGCTGCATACTGCAGAGAAGTTATCGATGGATTGAAATTGGAAATGAAAAAGGGAAATGGCAATTTAAATTGGATTGATGCCCGACAAGTTGATCCGACGCGACGGAAACCCAGGTAGAATCGACTCTTTCCTTGTTGTATGTATGCTGAGTGCATCGGTCGATAGGTAGCTAAGAGGGGAGGGTTGCATGCAGTCACTGTGTGGTTGGAAACGAAAATGATGTCGCGGGGAGGGGGGGAGGGGGGAGGAAAAGGGAAAAATGCACAATGTTGGCATAGTTATGGGCCTGGACCCGAGATCGCCGTCAATTAACATAATTAATTAATTAAAAAATTAACAGTTTCCCGGAAGGGATAATTAAAATGTAACCTTTTTTTGCTTGTCTTGCCGTAATCTAAGCCTCGTATGCTCTGTACGCTCGTCCACAAAAATTGACAACGGACCTTTGAGGCGCAAAAACCTAAGCCCTCATGAATGCACTATCCTACCTACTGCGGCGGGATTGGAGCGGCAAATAGGTGTAACTAATGATGTATATGGCGAAAAGTGCAATGAAAGAAGACCATGTAGGTCGTCGATGAAGCGAACAGGGACACGTATCGGCCATTACCATCGGCATAATTTTACTGGAAGTTGACCTAGGCTTTGGGGACGACAGGCTAACGAAGCCAAAAATAACGTCGAGCATAATGGCACCCTCGTTTGCCAAGCGATCTGCTCGGGCGTTTACTCATGGATCCCGCAGTGTCACGACCTTGCAGCTGCATTCGAACGGAGGAGGTTTTCGATGGATTGAAAATGGATTTTTACATTGAAAAAGGAAGTGGCAAGTTAAATTGGAATGGTGTCCGACAGGTCGATCCGACGCGACGGAAGAAGACTTGCCGACCTTGCCCTTGCCTTGTTCCATGCATGCTGAGAGGGATGAATCGCTCAATAGGCAGCTGAGGAATGGTGCATGGAGTCACCGTGTGGACCATTGGTGAAGAAAATGATGCCGGGGGGAAGGAGGTTGGGGGGGGGGAGAGGGGAAGAAAAATACAAAATAATGGGCATGGCCCCGTGATCGCCATCAAAAGCGACTCCTCCCCAAGAGCTAATTATTTTTGTTGACTCAACGTCGTCCTGGGCAGTTATAGAGAGAGTATATTATGCCTTCTGGAAAGAAACCCATATAATCAGTTCCTTACTTGTGCACCAAGGAAAACGACTCATATTCCGCACCTCCTGCGTCGCAGTGGCATGATGAAGTTCCTCTTACCCCTCGCTTTTCTGTCATTTCTCGTGCAGGCTCAAATCTCGACCTTCAATTATCAGCTGTACAAGAATGGCATGAAGGTGGGCAGCCCTCTCGCAGACCTTCAACTGGCGTCGACCATCCAATGCGCCATTCAATGCAACATGTAAGTGGTTCTCAGTCACTCCTCTCGAGTGACTCAGGTCCTGGACTGCCTCGCACGAATCCGCATTTTCTCTTGGAACAGGAATCCCAGCTGCTACTCCTTCTCCCAGTCGCCGAACTCCGGAGGCGTCGACTGTCGACTGGCCGGATGGAAACCGAGCCTCCAGGCGGATCCAACTTGCGAGTACTTCCTCCAAATACTCCCAGGTGGTGTCTCCAATGTTCTTCAATTTGAATAACATACACTTCGGGATAGTTTATTCGCACAGTTTTATGCAAATTCGGCGATGGATGCCATCCAAGATCATCGGAGTTCTGACTCATTGATGAGGACCAATAAAAACACAAATTTTCTTCGTGATTAATGGAAGGCCGGCCCCGCCGAACGTTGTTGAACTATTTCGCAACGAAAACGGGAAAATCTCCCGGTAATGCCATTTTCAGTGGTGTCATGGAAACAAAAAATTCTGGCTATTTCGAAGGGCACCAACGGCTTTCAACCCAATTACGTATTCTGTTTTCGTCACGGCTCATCAACTAAGAGCAGTCTTAGCAGGACTCTAACGGTCAAGAATTGGTCGACATTTCATGATGAAAGCATATATGCATCAAATATATGTCGAAGAAAAGCGTGCTAGACCTGCCAGTATGCGCGAAAATTAAGCAAGTTTTCGTTGGACTTGTGCAAAGGAAACAATGATGGTACGAACCACGAAATATCAAGGAACGCGACACACGTGGGAATCCAAAGGATTCTTCGAATTCATAATGCACAAAGCAGTCCCGACGAACGGATTCGACAATGAATAATGTCAGGAACGGTGCTGTCCCCTATACCTTCCACGTGGTAGCCGATCTTCCCCCACATAAACCAGAGGGGGGAATCAGCGTTCCGTTCGGAAGTCGTGCATAAGCGACAATGTACAAGCAATTCGGGTACAAGCCGAAGAGCACATCCGCCAATTTTGGATGCAGAGAAACCAAATTTAGTTTTGAATAATTATTATGGTCTTAACCGTAAGATTGCCTTCTAAACTTTCATGAGTATCTCCAGGGAAGCCCCAACGGCGACTGCTTACTATTTAATTCTCATTATTGCCAGGAAAACTGCAAAGATATGGTTTATCATAATTCCTGTAAAAGTCCTGCCATTTTTTAAATTGCCTTGGTTGCACAGCACGGTACAAATGGCAAATTGAATTTCTCAGGTGGCTACGCACTGGCACCAGGCACGTCGTCGTACGTGAAAACAGTCGTCACCACCACGAAGAACTGGATCCAGGCCGAGGCAGACTGCGAAACAGACGGTGGCCGACTGGCCGTGGACACCAACCAGCCGATCCACGCCTACATGACCCAGATGATCTTGAGTCTCGGGATCTACTCGAACGTTGGAGCTGGAACCGGATACTTCTGGATCGGTGGGCAGAGCACGATCGACCCCTTTCACTGGAGACTTCTCGACGGTGAGTTTGAGGCTTCGTAATCGATTAGACTGCAACCGGGTTTCCCTGCAGCTAAAAGCGCCACCTTCCAGCTTCATGCAATTGTTTCTCTCTTCAACAGTAGCAGCAATTGGAAACGCTGTTTGCATACGCTTTCCTATGAGTCCCAGACGATGTTTACAACTCAACAATTACCACATAGTTGGAAAGCCTACAGAAAGTAATTGTCGTATTAGTTAAATTATTACAATTCTAATATAACCTTAATAGAGCTTTGTGGCTCCCGCGGGACATTATTTCGTTGACGGTCCTGCATGGGTTCTGCCCATGTCAGGGCTGGGCCCGCATAGCCTCCATTGTTTCTCTGGGCGTGTGACCTCCCCCTTCCGGTCACGCCGTCTTTCGTTTTCCCGTCTCGCGTGTGGTCCCGTGTCGTCCGAGGCAGTCCCTCTGGCCAGCCGTGCCTGCAGCTTTTCTGTTTGGTCTTCCGTCGGTCGCCCTGCCTGCAATCTCCGTTGCCGTCTGCCGCTGTGCCTGCGTGCCTGTGACTTCAATTAACATCTGTGACATTTATTCTTTTCTCTTAATTTAACTTTAATTAAACATTTGTTGTCCTTGTTGTTTGAACGCCGTTTTATTATTTGTCATCAGTCGTCTTCTTAGACGGCTTGTCCTGTCTGTGGAGTGAGGCCAGGACCCCTTTCTTTTGCCTCCGATTAACCGCTCGTGCTAAATTGTCTTTCTCTTCTTTCGGCTTAAAGTCAACGTTAAAAGTCCTCTTTTGAGGCCCTCCACACGACATAATCTCGTTCAGAATGTCTTTGATTCCGAATCCACATTATTGTCACGCTATTTCATCGTAAGAAAGTTGACTTTTCGCCTCTTCTCACTAGCAAAGAAACCCGTCCCGAATGGTGCAAGCATCTTACAGAGATGCAGCTTTGGCATCTTATTTCAAGTTTACCTGGCTTCTCCAAAAAATTGTCTCATTCAAGATCAGAATTGTTGAAAACCCACCACCAATTTTTTTCTAACTACCAATGAAGATAATAGACTTGGCGATATTCAATATGAGATTGGGCGGACGACAAAGTCGAGGAAAAGACAAGGAAGCCTTCATTGATTCATCGGGAATCAGGGATGAAGTCAACTATTCCGAACACCAGTAATCCTGATCTTCTGGTAATACGGACATGGAGAAGATTCGCAGCAGAAGTCCTTCTGAAGCTGTAATGGAATTCAAATAAAACCCATAGTTATGCGAGAAATGAGAATTTCAGTCATGGTTTCGGAACTATGGAGACATTCCATAATGTTACTCATATCTGAGCTCACTCTATTTGATCCAGTGCCATGTAAATGCCATTTTCGTACAGTACATGTTCAATTGTATGTCTATTGATTTCATCATCCTCAGTATACTCTCATTTCAATATTCCATGGATTTCTGCAGGCACACTCCTGAATTACACGTCGACGAGCAAAGGCCTGTTCCACCCCACGGAACAAGATGATTTGTCATTCTACCTGTGAAAGTTCTGAAATGTTTTATATGCACAATAACTGTTCAAATGCGTGGCACCCGACATCACCATCCGCCAGGTACCCCGAGGACAAAATGTCTTGAATTTCGGCAGGTACACTCCTGAATTACACGGGGATAGGTCAAGGGCTGTTCCACCCGACCGAACCCAATCAAGGTGGAGGATGTCTGATGATCGCCGTCTACCAGGACACCACCTGCTGCAACGGACGCTGGGCGGATAACGTCTGCGCCATAACTACCTGGAGTTCCGGATATTTCTGCGAAATCCAGGTGCCGACTTGAGTCATTTCTGAAGAGAGGAATTTTCATGCAGAAACTCATAACGGACGAAGGAGAGAGTCATCCCTCTCGGCTTTTCAAGGGTATTTGGCACATGGTTTTGGCAAGTTTCCTTTTTCTTGCACTGAGTGATATTAATTTTCGGCGCGGGGAAAAATTCATCTGAAATTGCGCTGGTATAGAATGTATTTACGTACATCATATCAATATTCATGAATGCACATGTAAAACGAACAGCTTCACGGAAACGAATTCATACACGTTTTTTTCGCGAAGCGTTCACGAATGTTCGGATTTTTCATATTAGTTCTACAAGGAACACAAATTGGAAATTGGAGATGTCACCAGATTGTCACCAGATTGTCACCAGAGTTGACTTCTCTCGACGTTCCTGAATCGTCCTAAGTGTGCCATGATTTAGATTGTCGCATTGAATGCTGACCCTTAGGGAAAAACCCTATAGGATCCTATAAGGTTTTTTGAAGCATGAAAATTTCATACGATTCTTATAGGAATCCAATAGTGTTCTTTTAGGATCCTATAGGATTTGCATAAGATCCTATTGGGATCCTACAGGAATCCGATGAGATTTTCATTTTTCAAGAATCTTGTGAGAACCTACATGAATTTTCCGTAAGGGGAACGGTTTCGGTCATTCTTTGTTTTTAATGCATGAGACATAAATAAAGAAATTTGAAATTTTTTCATTTTTTTCATTCAGAATTTTTTTTCAAAATTCTGTATGCTTGGAGTCGGACGCCAGAGGGAGAAACGAGTGCGGGGGACAGACGCGTTTCATGGACCATTTCATGGACCATTTTTTGGACCATTTGGTCCCATCAGGAGTCCCGTTGAACTGTCTCGACATGGTCCGACGAGAGAAAGACTCCAAGAAATTCACGAAAAACGCATGGTGGAATAGGCGCGAAACCTCTTGATGCGTGGTGCCATCCCGTGTAATGAGGGTTGCCCGAATAAGATATCTCAATAATCTCCCCTCATCGATCGGTCACTGCTAACCACGGTCTCATTACAGAAGATTACAGAAGATCCAGGCACCGAAACGAAAGGCGAAGCAGTCGTGAATCTGAGAGAATTCTGGCACGGTATCCGACAATATTGGGGGACGGGACCGGAGCAAGCACTCTAAGTCTAAAAAGCTTGATTAAAAGGCACCTTAATTGAACGCCGAAAAAAGGCTCTCATTCTGTTGCACTGGACGTTGAAAGACCTCTTTGATAACATGCTGGGCGTCATCGGAAGCATTTATGTGCTACTTGCCCTCCCAATAGAGTCATCGGCCTGTCGTCATAGCCTGGTGGATGGGGTGGAGGTCATATGAGGAAAAGAGGACAAAAAATGGTGATGGTGGGGACGAGAATCCAATACGGTTGATGGTCGCGAGTGCTACCATTGCACCAAGAAACCCAAGCCATTGAATAGCCATGCCATCCCTAACACGACAACGGGAGAGAGAGGCATTCTACCCTCAACTCTCGCTCTCTACTTTGAGGCGAGAGGAAAAGGGAAAGTCCCGATAGGGACTTTTCCGCCGGGACGTGTAAAACATTCCCGCGTATCAGCCTAAATTGAAGTATGAGACCCATATTCAGGATGAAAAGAAGTCTTGGAACGACTCGATAGGGCTTACTGGTTCCTCTGAGAACCAATCGTGCCTGCTGTGTCCCGGCTCTTTTCCTAAGAGTTCGTATTTAACACGTTGGCGACAATGCGTCCTGATGCCAGGATGCAGATTTTTTCCAATGAATACCCTCTGGAACTGTTGAGAACGTACGGCGGACAAGCAAAAATAGGCTGGTCGTCAACGTGTTAAAAGAAAGTCGGGTTGAAAAATCCGGGAAATCCAATGGGAGTGAATGGTGACCGAGGTCTCAACAGGTATGGCTTTCGATTTCGGTACGCATGCCTATGCTATTCCTGTGGGTGCGCCATCTCCAGTTTTTTTCTCTGCTCTGTGGCTCTCCTATAGCCATAGGAACATGCACGCGCCGCGTGGCCGTCAACGTCCGGAAGCGTGCGCGGCGGGTCGCGATGCGAGTAGCGTGAGACCGCTAATAAAAGCCGCATACCACATTGTCCTACGAGGCGACGATTCAAAGGTAACGCCGGTTCCACGTCCTTCGCAATGACGACTGACGAAGCGCAGGGAAAAGACCGCAAAGTAAGCTTCATCCTCGTCAGCTGACAGGCCAGGTGAGGAGGGAGACCGGGGTGGTGCGTCCGCCGACCATCCCCACGAGCGCGTTCAGCACCTTTAATACTTCCATGTTTTTCCACGAGCTACCTACTAGTATGTATAAAGCCTGCCGGTTTCATTGACGCGTGGCTATCGTCGCCACCCGGTCAGTGAATCGAGCGAAGGAGGCTAATGCGAATAGAGCCGAAGGAGAAGATATCACCCCTATTTCATCCCGGACGCTTAAAATCCCAGGATCTCCGGCAGCAGGGGCGAGACATCCCGGTGAGCGATGCCACCGTCCCCTTGCGATTATACAGTAGATAAGATACCTTGTCATGTTGAGAACAACCTACTGGCTGGCAAAGGAAAATGTTGCTACCAGCAAGTTTTCCTCTTTGATTGCACTCCAGGTTTGTGAACCTCAAGAATGTGATTTGCTCATCTGTAATCACATGAACTTTCTCAAAATCTTTAATAATCTACACATGTTTTTAATCATCTTCTACCAATGGATGCCAATGGCCAATACCAATGGATGGCTGCCAATGGACGTCCATCTTTACAGAAAGAAAACTCTGCATACAAGCATCATGAAACTGTTGAAGAGATGCAGGATGCCATCAATACAGTCATCATGAGCTGTGTTGATATGGAAATGAAGTCTTCACCATTCATTGGGGTGATACTGGATGAGAGCTGAGATATCACAGTAAAAGAGAAACTTTCTATCTATGTGAGATATATAAAAATGGCATCTGCTATTGTCAGATTTGTTGCTGAAATTGACAGGCCAGATGGAAAGGCTGAAACCCATTCTTGACTCTCTTCTTTCCAATTTGAGGGAAAAGGGTATTGACACCTTAAAGATAATTGGGCTGGCAACAGATGGAGCTGGAGTTATGCCAGATGGAGCCAGATTGTCTCAAGTGTCAACCTTTCTACTCCATACTCATTGCCTTTGCCACAGACTTGCTCTTGCTGCCAATCGAACTTGAAAGGAAATAAATGCTTTCAGTGAGTTCCAGTAGCACAAAAAAACCCTCTTTCTTTATTTTTCTGCATCACCAGTGAGGTATAATAAACTTAGGGAGGCTTGTCAGGTCACAGATCCATTGAAAAAAAAAAAAACACTTTCGCCGAAAAACCCTGTGGAATTTCGGTGGTTAAGCATGCACCAGGCAGCTGCAGCAATTTCCCATGACTGGAAAGGAATCAGTGCTACATTAGAAAATGAGGCAGCCTCTGATGAAGAGCGAGGCTGGAGCAAAGGCAAAAGGTCTCCTGAAACACTTCAGATCATTCCGATGTATTGGAACAATGGCAGTCTCACGGGATACGATGCCTATTCTCAACAAGATGATGAATGTTTTTCAGAGGAATGCATTAGACCCAAAATGCGTCACTCCAATGATCATTCATTGGAGAGCTTGACTTGCATGAAAGATAACAACGAGGATAAGTTCTATTCTGCCTTGAAAGAAATTGATGAAAGTAGAACATATCAAGGATATTTTGTGTCAAAATCTGCCAGAGAAATCAATTCTATGGTTAATGCTAGAAATGCTTTTTATGAAGCACTAGTGAAGAACTTGCAGCAAAGGTTTCCTGAAGAGAGCCTTGGAATTTTGGAGAGCTTGACATTTGTCTTTGATCCAGACATTGTTCCAAACCGCAAAGAAGATATGCCAGGCCATGGCAAACAGGAGCTGGCAAAGCTGTTGGATTTTTATGGAGCAGAAAGGATGGACCTGTTTCAGGGCTCATAGATGCAGAACGCTGTAAAGGGGATTATCTGTAATTCAAATTCTTGCTGCAAAGCAGGCAAGGGAGGAACATTTTTCATTGCATAAAACTTGCCATTCAACAAATCTCTGATGACTTCCCAGACTTTGCTGTTCTTGGACAGATTTTACTGGCAGTTCCCTTGACAAGTGTCGAATGTGAGAGGGGTTTCAGTTTACAAAATTTACTGAGGAATAATTTGCGAAGTCGCCTCTCAGATCAAAAAATCCACAGTCTAATGACAATAAACTTGAATGGACCACCACTGGGTGAATTTAAATTTGAAGATGCCTTTGGGGTACTTAAGTCACAGAAGAAACCTCGGAAGTAGTCCCAATGCTGCTGGATTGCTGTTTGACTATGCTAAATAAGTGAATAAACATGGAATGCTGAAATTGTAATTTTTTAAATACAAATTTACAAGATTTAATAATGCTTCATTTGCAATGAGACCCTCAACATTTTCAGAGGACCCTTTCTTATCAGACCTAAGGGTCCCTGGGACCCCTAAGGCAAGAAGATTAGCGCAACCCCTGATTAGGGATAGGATCAGATCGGTGGTGTGCTCCGAGTCGGCCGAGGAAGTGTTGGTGGTCCTTCGCGTAGGGACCAACGATACTCCCAAGTCTGGCTCTGAACTCATCATGGGCAGGCTGAGGCAGGCTATTAGGGCGTCTCGGGAGGCAAGGTCGGGGGTGCGGGTGACGGTATGCGCGATCCGGAGCAGGCTAGACAAGGAAGGAATCACGTGGTCCAGGTCGGAAGTGGTTAACGACAGGTTCAAGGAGTTATGTATCGCGGAGGGGGCAGGGTTTCTGGACGCTAGGGAGGCTTCGAGTCGCTGTAGAAGTCCGATGGCTAGGGATGGAGTACATTTCTCGAAGGAGGGAGCGGTAGCAGTAGGATTGGCTATCATGAAGGAAAATAAGCCTTTTTAGGGTTGTAGATGGGGGGAGGGGGGCCAGGGATCACAAGCAAGGGACAGCCACTACGAGCAGCTTTAGACCGCCGCGTACTGGTGTGGAGGAAAGGCAGGGAAGAGTAAAG